TAAATAACACTGGCAAGATGGGAAGAGTAGGGTCAGAAAACATGTGACGGAGTAACTGCGAAAATTGTGGTTATCTTATACAAGATTCTTCAAAAATTTTCCGAAAAGAGGTGGAAAATTTGCACTTCGTGGAATGCTGAATTTGGTAAACCAAGCTGTAAAAACTTCTAAAATAAATAGAAACTGTTTTGAAAAAGTAAGGCTAAAATTATTGGCGATGCCACCAGTAGAGCCCATGCAGTCATGCGCTTTTGCAGTATTTCATACTATAGTAAGATCGCTTGAAATCGTTGTAGCTAGAGTTTGTGGCATACTGGTCATCGAAATTCAAGGCATTAACTGTGCAACCATACGATTCTTGGATAGGAAGCACCCTGTTAAAATTCCAGCTTTTCGGCTTTTCTGGTTCCCAGTTTAGCAGTTTTCCACCAAAAATTTTCAAGGGCCCTGTGTGAGAGCCACACAAAACGGGGGGAAGGGTTGAATTTGGAATCTTTAAATTCAATTTGGATCGAAAACGCCTCCTCAAAATTTCAATTTTCCAGCTTTTCTTAACAATTTTCCTGCCAAAAATTTTCTTGGCCTTTATGTGAAAACCATACACAGCTGAAGGTTGAATTTGAAATTTTTAAATTCCACGTGGACAAGAAACATCCTTTTAAACTTCTCTCTCCCAGCTTTTCCGATTCCCGAGTTGACGATTTTCCCGCCAAAACTTTCACGTGATCGTACGCGGGGCCTGCACGTGCGTGAGGGCTGCTACCGAGGCCCTGAATGGTACTTGGCCAGGGGATGCACTGGCAAAATTTTAGTGCTGGGGCTTGTTTGGTTGTTGAGTTGAAATACCTGGATAAACGAATAAACGCAAACATGCACATACGCGCACCATGGGTCATCGCAATACGCGTTTTTGCAGTTACACATATGCAAAGACGCATAACAATTGGATGATAGATAGTTAAAAAGTAATCTAAATTTTCGGGGATTAGATATTTTTTTAAATCGCGAGGATATTAATTCACGAAAGCCAGTCACGAGTGCACAGCCGTTGCCGCGAACTCTCTGCATATTACTCGTCTTCTTAATTTCTTCGCATGTTTCCAAGCTAGTTTAATTTAAAAATTGGCCAACGCACGAGCTGCCCGTGCGAAGATGCGTTTTGCAGCAGAGTTCCCCGCAGTTTTTGTCGCTACCGGCATCGGTTTTTTCGGCAGATGCTTCTAGTTGAAA